TTTGGGGATTAATAGAGATGCTAGGAATGAAAAAGATACATAAGACTTAATCTCCACAGTCCTCATATCCTCAGTGTAGTGTCTCTCCCTCCCTCTCTCTCTCTCTCTCTCTCTCTCTCTCTCTCTCTCTCTCTCTCTCTCCCTCCCCCCCCCACACACAACACAACCTTGTATAATTATGTACAAAATTCAATATATAGAGTGTTATAGGGGTACTGAGATGGGGAGGACATTTAATCCAGCCTGCCTCAAGTGGGTCATGGAGACAAGGGAGGAGGGAACAACGGAGCTAACTTAAAAGATGTCTAGATTTTAGCCATTAGAAGAGGGAGAGGGAGGGTAAGGATTTCAGTCATGAGAGTAAATGTGTAGAGCGTGTGTGTCAAGAATCGCAATAATAATTTGATGTTGTTGACATAGAGGCATGGAGATAATGCCTGACTCTGCATCCTGAGATCAGAAGGGATCCCCAAGGGGGCRAAATTCTATAAGATACCTCAGTCTCATCAGCCACATGCAAGGCTTTCTCTGGCAGTGGAGAAAGACAGGCAATGTCTATAGGAATTTGGGAAGATATAGATGAGGTTTATATCTTATATCTAAAAATATGGGAGTAAGTCACTCCTTAACATGCAAGGTTTTAGCATAAATTTTCATATCCAAACAGTATATATTGCTTATTTCCTAGTGTAATAGTCTGAATGAAAGGAACTTTAAATAGATAAAAGGCTAAAAGTTTGGCAGACTAGATGAGTATATTTTTCTTTAGGAAAAGATGTACCTCTGGATTGGTGTGAAAGCACACACATACCCAAATGTATATAAAACATCCCCAAAGAGAAATGATATTGACTAGTGAAAGTAAATAAAATCAGAATTTAAATATTGCTTGATTAAAAACCAACTTTGTTTCTCTAAATTAATTGAGCAATAAGATACATCAAGTAACTTTTACCACCTGAGAAGGGATGTAATCACCTTGGATTTCACTGATGCCCTGTGATCTTTCTGATTTTCATTTGAGCAACAGGCCACAAGCATCTCTGGGTAACTGAATGAACATTCATTCTCATAGTCTCTTTTTCTCTTGCTCACTCTCTCTCTAACATGCATACACTGACCATTCTGAATATCTGCTCCATGGGTATTTTTGGAACATTGTTATACAAAATGTTTTCTTTGGGGTACACACCAGCCATATAAATGACGTTCTATCTCCTACATGTGCCAATGTTAAGATACCTAAGTCATCAGACAACTTAAGTAAACATTTCCATCCTGTATTTCTACTTCCTTCTCCCAACTCTTGCCCTATCTTATTCTAATGAACATCTAGTTGATCAGTGTTCAGTTCAGGCCCTTTTTCCTATACCTCTGCTATTGTTAAATAGCAAGATCACAATGCAACCAGCATATAGTCAAAAGGAGCAACAGGTAGGCAGACTTGGTGGTATGTGCCTGTAGACCTAGGAGACTGAGGCAAGCTCAAAAATCACTTGAGCCCCAGAATTCAAGACCAGACTGGACAACATATTGAGACCCCTGACTCAGAAAAGAAACGAAGGAAGGAAGGAAGGAAATAAAACAAAAGTGGAGCAAAAAGTACAGGGCTACTTCCCAAATAACTGATATTTTGATTACTGTGTGATTATTAAAATAGGTCTTTCCAGGCTCAAAGGAACAAACAAAATGTGACCAGTAGAAATAATTTGGGGTTATGATATTATGGTCTATTTTAAATTTTGTTTTTAGTTGTAGATGGACACAACATATTTATCTTATTTATTTATTTATTTTTATGTTTTGTTGAATATCGAACCCAGTACCTCATATATGCCAGCAAGCACTCTATCACTGAGCTATAACTCCAGCCCCGATTTTATACTGTTTTAATGGGAAAAATTTATTAAAATAACTGTAGATCTAGATAGTCTTCCACTTTAGTGATCTAATACCAGGAGCCAACAAAGGGCAAGCCAGAGAGGCAGAAGACTGCTTTCTGGGGAAGTGAKACCTCAAAGTTAATAGTGATGTCAAATAATAATAATGTATAAATATAATATATGTGTGTGTATATATATATAAACTATATAAATGTATATAACAATGATGGGTTTCTGTACAAATTTCTGAGAGTTGATGGGACCCTTTGAAGAGGTAGAGAATGACAATAAGAAGACATCTAGGATAAACTTAATCTGCCAAGATTTAGTGTGCAGAKTTTAACTCCATTCTTTAACATTTATTTCCCTATTTGTTCCCCCATCTCCTTCCACAAAGGATTTGAGTCAACTTACAAAAATATTGACAATAAAACAGAATAAATGTTTGACTGAAGTAATTTAGGCAAAAGTAAATTTGTGTGTGTGTGTGGTGCTGGGGATCAAACCCAGGGTGTTGTACATGCTGGGCAAGCACTTCACCACTGAGCTACATACCCAGCCCCAAAGTAAAATATATTCTATRCATGGCCTCAAGAAGGGCCATGATTTGGTGCTAAGCTTTTAACACCCAGAAGAAAATAATAAAATCTCATTCATCATCAAATTCTTAAGAGTATTAAAATTAAAAATAATATACATTAGGTAAAACACAAATTTTATCCCACTGAGACCTGGAGGAATTTCTCTTATTCTTTAAGGAGAGGATGGGTATCTGTGATACTATATCTCTATAAGAGAAACCAAATCCCCAAATCAGTTTTTTGATGTAGGGCTTCAGAAGTGATGCCTAAGCATAATTCAGTAAAAGCAGTTCTGTAAGTAACTAAGCCTTTCAGTCTCAGCATTGGACTCTCTAGGTGGGGTCAGCCCCAGTGGAGGAGACAACATTGTGTTAAGAATGCTTCATATGACTTCTGCTACCAGACTTTTATTAGAGATTGGGCAAACAGTTAGTTTCAGTTTATTTGTTTATTCTGTAACTCAAAGAGTAAACATTCTCTATCACCTATGTAATCTTTGAAAATCAGTTGGACCCAGATAGATGAATCCAATGGGTTTAAATGTACTACTGGACCCATTTCTACTGATGAGATTTTATTTGTTTCTTTAGCCCAGAAAGACCTATTTTACAAAAGGATGAGTTGCCTAACCCACACCAGTGTGCCAGGAGAAGGTCTGGATCTTGTGTCCCTTTAACACACAGATAAAAGATGATGTAAGACAGCTTATCTCTCACTTTTTAAAATTAACTCTTGTCTTCTGAAATTCAGGTCCCTCAATTCTTTGCTCAAGTATTGATTCTAACGTTTTTCAGAATGTTTCTTAGTTCTTTGGATTAGAACTTAGTCCAGTGTATTATCTGAAAATTTGGAAAAGGGTTTGATTTCCTGACAGCCTAACA